ATATATATTGACTCCTCTAAAATGAAGGGTGTGCTTTAAAAGATAAAGTACAATTATAATTGTTGATTAAAATATTAATGATAGAAAGTTGTGATAAAATTAAATACATATATAATAAAATTTAAAATTAATTATGATATTATTTTTGATTTATTTAATCAATGGTTATCATTACATATTATTCTCTAAAGTGAAAACTCCTCACTTTATAAAGGCTAAATTCAACAAAGTAACTACACACTCTATCAACAACAATCATTCACTTATTTTGTTATTATTCTTTTCAACGAAAGCACAAAGTGTCTTTTTCTCCTAATAGTATAGATAACACAATTGAAAAGTTTTGTTATTTAAAGCATATACATGTGTGAGTATGTGAGTCAAAATCTTTTAAGACCAACTTAAGTCTAAAAACTTACATTAAATCTTATACATTCAATTATTTTTTATATAATGTATATATAACCAATTCAATTATTGAATTATGTGATATTATATTCAAGATCATATATATCAAACTTCATATGATTCCAAAATTATTTAGTTGTTCATCACTTTACTTTACTTTAACTAATAATATGATATTTAAAATCTATGTAAATATCCATTTTTGGATAACATGTTTTGTTAATTTCAAATCTTGTGAAGTTTGATGTACATGATCTTGAACATAATACCACATTATTCCATGGTTGAATTGGTTAAATTTGCATTATTCAAAAAATTATTGAAGATATAGATTTTGTATAAGTTTTTAAACTTACACTAGTGTTAAGGAATCCTGACTATATGTGTGTATAAGAAAATATGTTTTGATTTTTTATCTTTTAAAATGTTCATTTTTATCATTTAACTTTCATATTTGAATCAATTTTGTTCTCCTCAAATCGTTATCATTTTTTAATTTATGTCGCGATTATGAATTTAGTTTTTAGTTAGTGGATACATGAAACTTGTCACATTAGATTAGTTTATGCAAAAACTAGGAACTCAACTAACATTCATATATAAAAATAATAATAATAAAAGGTCATAAACATAATAAAAATTGTATGTGAATCTTCAAGTAAGGAGAAAACTAAAAAAAAAAAAATCTATTATCATTTTTTTTTCTTCAATTTTTCATTAGCATCAAACAATTTTCATCATTGTCATCAATGCCGTCACCACTATTGCCGTCACCGTCATCGCTATTAGTAGTGGTAACAATGGTTGTAATCATAACAACAATGATTATAATAGTGACAACAATGATGTGGTGGTGATGATAATAACAGTTTTAATAACAATGATCACAATAATAATAATGATAATAATAATAATAATAACAATAACAACAACTTACAATAATGACCGTACATAATAACTTTATTCGTAATATTTTAATTTAAATTTTTATTTCAATTAAGGGTTGTGATCAAGCATTCTCATTCTCATATAAAAATGAGATTCTCATAATATGTACTCCCTTTATTTATATAATCAAACATTTTATTTATAAAATAATAATTATCATAATATTTAAAATATATTATATATAAATAAACTTTGCAATTTAATCTTTGTATAATTTAATTTCTTTCTACTTTTTAATTAAAATACTAGTTCAACCTTTCAAAGATTCATTTAAAATTCTGTCTTCCAATTATTGAGATATTAAATTAAATGCTTCAAATATTGATAAACAAAAATAATCATTATTTAGATAAATAATAAATGGATAAAATAATTAATTTGATGTAATTAAACACATTTATTTGACACCATAAAAAAATAACATTTATATATTAAACACGAACGATTATCTCACATAAAAATATTTTTAGAAATTTTTCTTCGACAAAAGAATTTTAGACATTCTTTCAACTTCATATCTAATTTAATTTTTATTTATCATAATTATTTATTAATTAAATTTTAATATTTTTAAAGTAAATTATCAATAAATAAAAATAATCTTATGTTACAATATAAATTATTTATTATAAATTTAAAATATAATTTATATATTTAAAAGTGTCTATTTATTCAAATTTTAAATATAACTTATATAGTTAACGTATTATTTATTTATTTACATAATTTATTTTAAATTTAGTCATATATAATAAACATTTAATTTATACATTACACAAATTAAAGTACTAGTTTATTATGTAAATTACTAACTAAAGTTTTAAAATAATAAAGAGTTTAATATTTTTTAAATAAATCACGATAATATACTTATTAAAATATATAAAAATATGAATAACTAAATGTTTAATATTATCATTGATAAGCTGAAAAAATAATATACCACAGGTTATACGTTGAACATTTTGGTACATTGCATGATGGCATAGGTTCCATTCTCATTGTTTGCTCGTTATAAGTCCTATCTTCATTGTTGTTATTATACACCAAAAAAATAAACAAATAAATAAACTAATTTAAGAGAGTAACTTAAACTTCATTCAAAGACTTCAAGAATTAGCATCTATTCTATGGTACATTTTGTAGAATCTCAACGTTAGGGTGCTCAACAATGTTGACCGATTAGTTTGTCAAACATCAAAAGAAATTTGGTTTGTCCAATTCCCTTCTTTAGGCCTTGGTAATGTTAAGCTGTTTTTGGAATATAGCATACATATTGCAAAGAAAAACTTTACAATAGTAACTCCAAGTTCTATGTTTCTTCTTTCTTTATTTGTATAAAGAGGATTAGGAGGTATAACTCACCCTACAGAATCAGTTAATTTTAAGGATAACATAATGCCTCAACTTTATTTTTATAAAAAGGATTAGGAGGTACAACTCACCCTACCGAATCAGATAATTTTAAGGATAAAATAATACCTAAAAATTGTGATTCCATTTTCGGGAAGTAGGTTTCTAAATCGATGCTTTATCAGTATTGATAATTATTGAATTGACAAGTTTCAGATGGGATATTAATGGCCAACTTCTAATTGATTCCATCTCAACTTGCCTTTGGTATGCTTAGACTAGCACAAGTTCAGTATTAACAGCGAGATGCATTAATAAAAATAAGTCAAGATAGGAAAGGCCAAAATTAGAATTAAGAATGGTTTTCCTTCGTGTAAGTAAAATATTTAAAGACAAGAAAAAAAGAATGGAGCAAAGAAAGGATTATAGAGAGAACCAAAAGTTCTACCTCCTTCCCTTGTTCTCCCTGCAGTATGGTGATATCTTGAATGTTGCCGCGCTTTACATTTACTTCAAACTCGAGTTAAGTTTGCATCCTATCGTGTTCGTGTGATAAGCTTGTCCTCTCTAAGTATGGCTTGGCGCAGCTTTGTCATCGCTATCCTGCCGAGTCTCTAGAGCTGGTTCAACTTGAGTTTCATGACCATGCCCATTACATTCTTGCTTTAGAACTTTTCCTTTTGGTGAAGCACTTGTGCCACTGTGATTACTTTTCCCATCTTCCTTCTCCACCATGGTTGGAGTTTCCATGCTTTGTTGAGAGGAATTACCTGAGCCCGGTGGAGGTAGGAAGACTCCTGTGCCGGGAGCAGGGATTCGAGGAGGGGGATGCCTTGGAGGAGGAGCTGCCGTCCACGCAGCAGAACTGGGAGCAATCGGCACAGGTGCAGGAAACGGCATGGGAGGCACAACTGGAGCGCCAACAAACATCGGTTGCATGCCCACCGGAGCAGGAATTTGTGGTCGAATGGGTGGAGCCGGCAGTACTCCAGTGGTCGCATGGGTAGCATAATGCTTGGAAACCACGTGTTGACGAACATGATTGGGAGATCGGCTTGGTAGTGGACCCCAATTAGAAGATGCTGCTGGTGAGGCAAGACGTTGAGCATCACTTGGTAGTGACTTTCTTGGTTGGGACTTTGTGAAGGTGACAAGTATGCGTTGTTTGCGTATGGAAGGAAGTGCATGCCTCGCAAAATCAGTGGATTTCCCTTGCATAGCCAGAAGTGACCTACAGTGGCCAAAGCCAAAATCACTGATTAAAGATTGAAGAACAAGGGTACAACATTAAAACATAATTAGAGAATTCTCTTGTACGTTACATTTTTATCATTTATCATAGTAAAAGACAAGGTTAACAAGCATTACCCAGGGACTAGAGAAAGCTTGACACTGCCCCTATAATCTCCAGGATGCTCTGAGGCAATCACTCTTCCAAAAGTCATTTCACATTCTGTCAGAAAAAGCATATAAACGGGTCTTCCATACCATGACGGCCAACTGTGGGGCTGTGAGTGATCACCCTATAGCCAATTGTGATACCGGGTTGGGTTAGCAAATCCAATTACCAATATAAAACCCCAATAAATAAAAATGTAGAATGCTAGCTATACATTATTTACCACTCTTTTCAACACATTTATTATTGGATAAAATCCACATAGGTCCTACTAAAAGGGAGTGAGACCGTTAAATTGGAAATGGGACTCGCATGAATTACACCCAAAAATAAGAGTTTTGAATAGAATGTGTTAGCTAGTGTTGCTAGCTTTCCTTATAAAAAAAAAATAGAATATTAGAAAAACCAACCTCATTATAGAAATCCACAATGCAGCAATCAGGCTTCACAGTCATTACTTGCGAGGAAACCATTCGCTCAATAATATCTTGAAACAAGGAAGGAATAGGTTCTACATTCATATCTGCTAGATTCAATTAGTAACACTTAAAATATTATTTTTACAAGGGCGCTGAAAGACTGCAAATAAGAAACTTCTGTAACTTATAGTAGATTGGTATTAAAAGAAAATCACATAATATAACATGCCTTTGGAAGCTGCTGTCATATTTTCCCCATCTGCTGGGGCATCAGCAATTGGAACACCCAACTGAATCAATTCCCTTCCATGCCCTTTCATGGGCCTTCTTGAAACTATATATGCCTGACTTCCTGCTTATAGAAAATATTCAGCAACTAAGAAATATATTTTTAAAAATAAAACAAAAGTTTGCATGATCTATGATGACAACAAAGCAGGAATTATTTTAGTGCAGGATATAAAATATAACAATATTCAAATATCAGAAGAAAAAAAACAGTAATAGGGTGATATGTATTCTTTTGTTTAGCAAACCTTATTGTCCAATTCCTGTGTATGCTAATGCGTCTTCTTTCAGTTCTTTGATGTTCACAATAAATTTTTATCATTAACAGTCATAACATTAATGGTAGCAATAGTCAGGAAAGCTGAATATCAGAGAAGAGTCAGAAAATGCATACTGTTCTGGCTAGCTTGGCATAATAATTAAGTGTCCAATGAACACATTGGTGGTGGCCAAGACTAAGGATAAGAAAGGTTATAAAAAACCCTAAACAGGACCACCTAAAGGTATACTATCGCACTATCTCTCAGCTCTTGATCCTGATCCATACTTACTTGAATGTCAAAGTCCTTATTATCACCATTGGATGACCAACTTACTCCTCTGATACCATAAGGTATACAACCGCTCTACTTTGGGCTTGTGAAGATACGCATACTATGATTTGTAAATTTGTATGACTATGACTTACCATTAGCAAAATATAAGTTAGAACTCACGACTCATACTACTTTGCAATTGTTAATAACTGAGAATAGTGCAAGCTGATTCATTGTCCATAACTAATCAACTATTGAGACAAACCAAAGAAACATTGATACATGTCAACCACCTTTTTACACAAGCCCTATAACTTCAAGAACACCGCCAAAGGGCCTGCCATGCATATGGCATCACCTATTTGCTAGCAATCAAGCATTTTTAAAATGGGAAGTAGTGACAATCTTCCGGTCTGAAGATGGAATGCAGATAGTCATTTACCTTGTAACTGTCCTTTTTTTCCAGAAACCCTTAGATCATTGACTAATGAAACAAGTTTTGATACTTCTGTGCTATCAAATAAATCATCATACAACTTCAGTCCATCAACCACATTCACCTAAAAGTGAAGAAATTAGAAATGTACATCTTAAATATAGAATGTAAAAGATAGAAGAGAAATAAAATAACACCTATGAGAAGGCATATACACATCCTGAAATAACGACATCAAGAAAAGTGAAGAAATATTTTAAAGGGCCCTACCGTTTTCCCATCAAACATTTCATTGCCAACAAAAGTCTTTGCTCCTGTAGAAAGACTATGACTCTGAAGTTGATCTTGCACAGAAAGTGAACCATTCCCTGGAAACATATCTTACAAGTTAAATATCATTTAACTAATATGTATGCATGTAAAACACAAATATTTAGGAAAAACAAGCAATTTTAAAAATAGAAACAATTAATTTCAGAGTATGGGGAGTTAAGAATTGAGACGGAAAATAATATATATATATATATACACAAAATTTAGAAGTAACTGTAGCTGAGATTTGGGAATTTGAATGGAAACTTTTACGTAACAGGATATTTTAATATAAAAATGTATGTTATTAATATAAAAGACAATTTAAAATAATTAATAATTTGAAAATGTTTAAAAATATAAAAATAAGTGATGAATAAGGGTAAGGTCAGATACCAAAAAGAGCAAGAAAATATAATAAAAATGTTTTCACAATTAAGAATAAAGTGATTTATAATATAAAGATTTATTAACAAATATTAAACAAAAAATATGCATAGAGAACTATGATTATAAAACTTTCTCCGGTCTTACAAATGTACGAGATTAGATCTAAATGAAGCAAGGGAGTCAATACCAACATTTTTGTTATTTCGCACACAAATTCTATGTACATTGCATTCATGTGATAACAGGGGCGGGGGAGGAGGGGGTACAATCCAAAATTTATTTTCATGTTTCCTAAAGTTCGAGCATGCAACTAGCCTAACTGACAAGAGGAATAACACCTTTAGAATCAGATACACATCCATCATTTGCAACAACAGCTTCAGATTCTACATTGGACAGAGATCCTTCACAACTTCCTGTGCTCTTCAAGTTGCCATCAGTTTGATGCTTTATTATAGCATCTGCTCACACAAGCAAGAGTAAAATAAGTTAATAGACTATAGGCATTTCTCTTGTGTTAAATAGTCAACCATTTCAATTGTAAGTCAGAATTTTACTTTCCTGCTCATATCAAAGTTGTATTCTTATATGCAAACACATGCATAAAATGATCTGATTATCACCACTGAATTTTCTATATATTGTTGATCTCAGGACCAACAAAACACTGTTGGTAGTTGGTACGTCCACTACTTTAGTATAACTATATGACTCTATTTGGAAGGCCAGAAGTGAGCAGCAAAAGAAGCCAAATTGAACAAAACTGTTTATTTCTAAATCACACCAGTATACTTATATTCAGTGTAACACAAGGCTGATTCAATTAATTTTCATGAACGCCCCAGAAACTCAACCCACCAAGCCTTTATTACATATTGTATCTAGAATTAAAGGTTACAACCCAGCAATGTCACAACCACTTGGGTTATAATGAACACAAAAAGCTGTAATTCAGTCCAAGATTCACCATGTTGTAGCATACACAAATAAATGTATAATACATACAGACTGATTGACCCGTTATTTACCTTTCTTCTCTTCAGCAGAAGCTAAACCCTTATCCCCCACGTTCTCAACCTTGCCACCAGATTTATGTTCTTCACTCTTCTCAACAATTGGAGTCCCTTTCTCCATGCTCCCAGTAACCACAACATTTGACTCATTACTATAGGACTCTACACTAGAATTATAGCCTTCCTTTGCAGGCTCAAACCTCTGGCCATGCCGGTAACCTGAACCGGATTTCCTAACTTCCCTTGCACTCACTTTCACCGGATCCAGAGGCCTCTGCTGCCTCCTCCAGGCCACTTGCTGCAGCGCATACGCCACATCAGCCACAGAAAAGTATTGCTGCATAATCAGCACCTGATTCCAATTACACCGCCTCTGCTGAATGGCCCCAATGACCATATCATACTCCCCAGGCTCACCAATCACACGTAAATGGTGACAAAGAGAGTCTATGATGGCATTGGCGGCTGCGAATTCGCTTCGCAGCCAACCAATAAGCCCATCCCTCTCATCAACATACCATTGCTGGCGGTAGTGGTGCTGCTGGATCTCACCGCCAGCACTTGGAAACTGCATTTTGTCTTGTATTACCACATTTCCCGATGGCATTGCCATGAGAACTCACTACCACGATTACACTACAACCGCATATAAAGCATACCCCAACAATACTAGATCTAAATAAAAAAAGAAGAAAAAAAAAAACAACTAGCTTATAACAAAATCAGCGCAATTCAAGAGAACCCCACTAAATGATACGCAGAATTCAGAAGAATAAAAGCAAAAAAACAGCAAACTTGTCCAGAAACAAGAGTGCCCCAGCAACGATTCAGGCGAAAAAAGGGAAAATTTGAAATGGGTTTGGCGTTGAAATCAAAAAGAGGCGATGAGACAATTATTGCTGAATTGAAGAGATCTGGGTTTGAAAAGGGTGAGTGCTTGATTGAGAGTAAGGAGGTGGTTGAGTTGGAGTGACGCAAAGGGAGGGGCTTGAAGAGGAAGATCTAGGGTTGGGGTTGGGGTTGGGTTAATGAAGAATGTGGAACAAAGGGAATGGCTTATTGATCACGCATGTGTTATAGTCTTAAATGGTGGCTCATATTCACAAGTCACGACACAACTCTCTCTCTCTCTCTCTATTTGTTGCTGTGCATCTGAGAACTGGTGGGTGAGTGCTGATTTTGGATTTTACAGAGAATATTCTGGAAGAAAACCGGGGTTTTGGTCATTGCCCTTTCTATTTTTAGCCTTCTTGTTACTCTTAAAACAAATAATTCATATTATTAACTGCATTTCTTTTCTTCGATAATATTTGAACATGAAATCTTATTTAAGAAAATTAAATTTAAAAACTTGTGGATAATGATTATGTATTTTAAATCTTTGAAAATAGTTTTAATTTAGTATTATGTATATATTTAAAATTTACACGTTAAATATTTAAGAGTAGTTTGTTTCACGAATTTAATTATATTCTCATATATAATATTCTATTGTTAATAAGAATATTATTCACACTAAAGATGTTTGATAAATTCTTATCACTTCTTGAAATTTTAGATTTTAATTAAAGAACAAGTATAATAAAGTGAAAGTGAGAAGTTATTTTAATTTTCGATAACATAATTAAAAAAAATACAATAATAATATAACACTCTCACCCTTTCACATAAGAATTAAAAGAGAAAAACATATGTAGTATAGATTCCTCGGATATATATATATATATATATATATATATATATATATTATATATAAACCCTAAATTGTAAAATTAATTGAATAATTTTAATATATTATTTTCCGTTTTAATTGATAGTCTTCAAGAAATTAAAATATTTTATTTAAAAATTAAAAACTTAAAATTAAGAAAATGAAAGTGTAAGAAAAAACACAGTCCAATTTACGAAAAATTAATTATCCATTTAATGCAATAAAAACAATTCAGTACAATTAATTAGTTTAATTAAATGTCTCAAGCAACGCTCATAAAATCTCTTAGTTGTTGTTAGTTAATATTATTTGATTTCTGTAACGCCCGATTCTAACGCTCAATTTATATAATAATAATTATATATTTTTTATATAATATTTTCATAAATATATCGTTAATAATTTTTTTTTTTAGATAAAGATAAAGAAACAGAATATTTTGTGAATTTAATACATAACATAAGTATTTATAATAATGTATTATTTTACACAATATTTCTTTCTTTCACTTCTATTACAAACTTTACATTGATAATAGAAATAAATTTACAATAATAATTATAATAGATTCATCAAATAGCTTCCACATTCCAATTTCTTCCAAGAAAGACAACAGTTATAATCACTGCAAAATGCTCTAGAATCCCAAGTAGATCCATCTATTTTATAATATATTTAATTTTAAAAACAAAGAAAAGAGAGGAGTAAGAACAATATCCAATAAATACAATAATTCAAAAGAATAAACATAATTATTTATAACCACTATTAAACATATATATATATATATAAATATAAATATATATACAGATCATATATTAAATTTTCATGATACAATAAAATTTGAATTATACGTAGTGACTATTCAGAATAAATGAGCATCATCATAATATCAATCAATAAAAGGATATTTCACCTTAACCAACAATAGGATATTTCACCTTCATTCTTTACTCATTTAAATCCCCAAGGTCAAACCTCCAGCTACAAATAATTCAAATTTTATCTTCTATGGCCATAGAACAATATTTATGTTCATAACTACGTGAAGAAATAATAACAATAAAACGGGTCCAAGATATCACAACTATATCATAGTTGATTATAAATATATTTATAATAAACATATTTACGTAAAAAGAATATATTAAAAGTATCAATGATATAAATAAAAATGACAATCATTATAAAATAATTAAACTATAAAATATGAACATCTTAACAATTATTATAGATAAAAATAAACATAGGTTAAGCAAATAAATGAGGTTAGGGACACCCCACTAAATAAATACACATAAAAAATAACATAAATAAATAAAAATAGTAGTAGATAAAATTTTAAAGAGATAAGGTTCTCCTCCCCCTTACCTGAATAAGCAGGAACTAAAACTTGAGCAGAACCTCCTCCTCTAGATTCCCTCTTTCTTTCCCTCTCTTTCTTTCTTTCTCTCTCTCTCTCTAAAATTTTCACCTTCTCCCTCAGTTATAATTTTTTCTTCACCCCCTGCCTCCTATTTATAGGCATTCTGGCGTACCCGGAACGGCCCGTACTGATTTCGGAACGGCCCGTTCCGGAACCTTCAAATATACGTAAATTTCTCAACTAGAACGGCCCGTTCTAAAATCAGAACGTCCCGTTTCCAAAAAGCAGAACGGCCCGTTCTAAAATTAGAACGGCCCATTCTGGAGTTCACTTTTACACAGGTTGACCATAAGGAGAACGCCCCGTTTTCAACTTTGGATTTTAGGCCATTTTGTTTATCTGGAACGGTCCGTTCCACTTTTTGGAACGTCCGTTCCGCTTTTAGGAACAGGCCGTTCCGCTTTTTGGAACGTCCGTTCCGCTTTCTGGGAACAGCCCGTTCCGCTTTTCGGAACAGGCCGTTCTGGGCCTAAAAAAATCAGAATTAATTTTTTATAAATAATTTAAATTATTACAAACCTTTAAAATATTCTATAAAGCTCCTTTTAATTAACTAAAATAATAATCTTCATAAATATAAAAATAAATAATAATTAGTAGCCTATTAGTAAAAAATTCGGAGTGTTACAATTTCTCTTGTGTTTGTCTTTTATATCATTTTATGGGTACTTGCATAGAGATGAAAGAAACGACCAGTAATCTTATTAAAAATTATCAAAAATGCTTGTAGTGAATTCTAATATTCCATAAAGTCATCTTATTATAATTTAAACTTTTTCATAAAAAAAAAAATAGTTTGATTAAGTATAATTACTGCCTAATCAATAAATGAATGTCTAATAATTATTAATTCTAATATGTAATTTTTTTCTTATTATTTATCTTATTTTTAAATTTTTTTTTTATCATTTATTGATTAAAATATTGATTCTGATCTCTTATCTTTTAATTTTTCGTTGATTTGGTATATGTATATATAATTTATCTTTCATTAATGTGTGGAAAATTATTCATTTACTTTGATTGGTTCATAGGATATACATTTTCTTTACAGTAGGATGTACATTTTCTTCGGTAAAATATATTCACTTTTTATGCTTTTTCATGTTTATAACCGATAGTTTACATTTTATTCATTGTCCTGCATAAATTGCACCCAGTTTTTGTAAGTGTATATAATTTAATAAACTATATTTTAATAATTTATTGTAAATTCCATGTTGCAAGAATACAATATTTAACGAAAATTATATCTTTATTACAGCGGGTTTTTTCTTTTTTTTACATCTTCGGATAAATAAAACAGCTAATTATATTTGTATCAATATAAAAAAATTTATAAAGAAATATATTTCAAATATGCGTGAAATATGTGTGATCGTACATAGATTATACTAGTTTGATCATTCTAATATAATAATTGTTTTAATTTTGAGATATTATTTTGAATCATCTGTTGACCTGTTTACGACTTAAAATTTATCTCATAAATTTCATTTACATAAAAAAAAATATTGATTGTAATTAATGTTTGAAAAAAATCATAAACATAGAAACAAATTAGCAATAGCATGAAAATGAGTTCAACGATCAATGGGAAAGTTTTTTAAAATATATTTTTTTATTTTATTTTCTAATTGTTCTCTAAATATATTTTTTACACAAATTTTATTATATGTATAGCATTTTTGAGTTCAAACATCAATCGAATTACACAATTTTTTATGTAAGTGAATATAATGAAACAAGTTTGTTAGAATTTTTATTTATTTGGATTATTATTATTTTTATAATTTTGTTTTATGAAAATGAGTTGAATATTACCTAACATATATTTTTGTTGTAAGCTCATTTTATTACATGATGTATTTTGGGTTTGAAAATCATCATGTAAGTATATTTAATTATATAGTCAAGTCTAATAGACAAGTGTGTTAAGTTAATACGTGGTATAATCAATTTAATATTTGTGATGGATGAATATTAAGTTGCAATTTCAAAAATTGATAGTATATTTGTATTTTATTTCTATATTGTTGTTTTTTCTTTTGTAAGCTTACTCTCGCAATTTTTTATTGTTGAATATATAAGAGCATAACAGAACTAGGTTGGATGATTGGCTACTTGAGTGTCATACAGGGGATGATACTCTTTTGTTGGATGCTACTCTCATGTAGCTTATATAGTCAAGATCAATTGTTTGACCTAGGTTTTATGTTTTTCAATTCAAATTATTGTCTGTGTATATATATATATATGTGTGTATGTGTGTGTGTAATTCATAGTTGTAGCTCCACAAAAAAATTTATAATTTTGTTTTTAGTTGATGAATTTTATACATATATATTATTGTATGTATATTCAAAAATTGTTTACATATTATTTCTAAGTAAATAAATTTATGATTTTCACTACTTAACGGAAATGTAAAATGTAGATACATATCAAGTCATTACATACTATTATTTGATAAATAAGTAATTATAACTTGAATATATATCATTATGTTTCTATTAATTATAAATTTGTTATTATTTTAAAAATGATCATTTTTACTATATAATCATAAAAAAAAACTAATATAGATTGATCATTTGCTTCTAATTGACTCGTTGGGAGTTAGTTACCAACTAAAGTAGTTTAGATTTGTTTATTTCCTTTTTTTCTCTTTTCTTATTTTTATATGTTAAAAAAATCAATTAATATATTTAAAAACAAGGAAAAAGTAGTTTAAAAATATGGTCCAAATTGAGACTATTGTAGTAATTTAACTTTTACAAAATTAATATAATTCAATGCAATTAATCAATTAACTTAAATGTTTTTTAAGTATCTCAAAGTTAGGATAATTTTGCTAATGGTCCTGCAAATTAATAGGTGAGTTTTGTGTAATATAATTATAATTGTAGTGTAAAGTGATTAAAATATATTTAAAAATTATAAAGATTAAAATGAATAATTTTAAATTTAAGAGATAACAAATAAATATATCTTATCTTTAAGGATTAAAAACTTATTTACATTAAAAAAATTTGTGTAA